CTTTGCCCACTGCCATGGTAGCTGCCCAATGTCACAATGCAGGGCACTACTCATGTGTTTTGATAATACTGGTGTAGACCAATGCACTGCTCTGTCAGTTGTATAAGATACAGCATATACAATTGGGCACCGTACAGAATATTTGATAATAAATGATTTGCTGCTTTGTGTATTTATCATGTGCTATGGCTTGAGGTAGCCTCATTTATTTCTCCCAAGGGTCCCCAGGGTGGGAGTATTAGCAGGTGTGGTGGATCTTAAGAGATGGAGCCATATTGGAGGCCCTTATCATGCCCTGAAAAGAGATTGTGGGACTCTGCCCATCCCCCCTCTCTCTTGTTGTGCAATGGTTTGAAATGTGACCATTTACTCCAACATGGCCCCTTCTGGGATATGCTGCCATCTGCCACCCTCATAAACCAAGCCAACAGGACTGCCCAGTCTTGAACTTTGAACCACCCAAACTGTGAGCTAAATAAACCTCTGTACTTCATATGTAGACTGTGTCAGGTATCTTATAGTGATGGAAAACTAATACACTATACTATCATTTTATTACTGTTTTAGAGTAGAGTCCTACTTTAGAGAAAAATAAGTATATGATAAGGCAGTATGCCATCCTACACCAGCAGCAGCTGCATGCATCTTATGTTTACTGCATCTGTTGATCACATCAAGAAGCCACTTGGTCATAACCCACTTGAATCAAAGTGTGAAATATGATATATCAAGAACTATGTAATGTTTTGAACAACCAACAATAAAAAAAAATTTTTTTAAAAAAGAAGCCACTTGGAGTATTTAACTTATACCACATAAGGTTGCATAAATATACACTATGATGTTCGTATCACCGGAATCGCCTCTGACGTATTTCTCAGAAAGTATCCCTGTGCTGAACTTTCAAGAGAAAATCTTCCAGGTAGCCTAAGCTTGCTTCTCTGGGTTGAAGCAGTGTGTTATATTTTTAAACAGACTGAGTCTACACAAATGAGAGGAACAAGGAAAGAGAAAGAATATGATAGCCCGTTTCATAGATGTCATTTTAATAGCATGCACATGTCTGGGTCATTATTTTCTGACCCCTTGAAGGGCAAACTCGCAATGAAATATGATAGCACAATTGTCTGATCCTGTATTGCTATGGACTTTGACACTTGTGTGGCAATTTTGCAATTAGTAATTGCAATTCTGACGTATTCTTGGGGACCAGCAGCCTCTAAGTCGTGTCCGATCTTGCTTGGAGGATGTATCTGCAGAGGGCCTCTTAAGGGATGGTGAACTCGCAGATGTACCTCTTGCTACTGCGGCAGGCCTCGTCGCTCCATTTCCCCTGAGCCGACTGGGAGAAGAGGATGCAGTTTTCCTTCTTGCCTCCGTTGGGTTGTGCGCGGTCCCAGTTGAGGAAGGAAACGGCGAATCCGTGGACATCGAGAAACTTGCCTTCTGTGACCATGTCATTGATGCCCAGCCAAAAGTCATCGACGCCTGGCAGGCTCCTCTTACCATAGTCTCGGAGGGCATTGATCTCGTCGGTGTTCCTGGGTACGACCAACGTCCCTCCCTTGGAAATGCAGTCTTCATTGGCTTCATGGAAGTGCTTCGAGCTTTCCGAAGCAAGGTAGCATTTCCTGTGAACTTTTGTGCCTCGAAGACACACTGTGGGAGGTGAAAGTACATACGTTAATTTGCTTTTGAGTGTGGACCTGTCGCTGGACCTGGCAGACGGCCATAAACTTGGATGGAATGGATAACATGCGACAGTGATGATGAGTTAATGTTTATCGGTGATTTTGTGTTTGTGTGTGTGTGTGTGCGTGTGTGCTGAGCACTTTACATACACGAACTCGTAATAATCATGACCACCCTGTGAAGTGGTACATCATTACCCCACTTATCAGGTCATTGAGGCTTAGAGAAATCCTTACTTTTCACAACTTGGCCATATCAGTAATGTAACTTGCATAGCATGTAAAATCACCTCTACACAATTCAGGTCTGCCCCACCCTCAAAGCAATTTTTTTTTTTTTGGTGGGGGGAATACTGGGGATTGAACCAAGGGGTGCTTAACCACTGAACAACTGAACAACTGAACAACATGCCCAGCCGTTTGTTGTTGTTGTATTTTATTTAGACACCAGGTCTCACTGAGTTGCTTAGGGCCTCACCAAGTTGCTGAGGCTGGCTTAGCCCGCCGAGCCACTAGGATTACAGGCTTCCACCACTGTGCCCAGCTCAAAGCATAATCTTCAGCCTCTAGCTGCTTTGATACACCTGTGCATCCTAATTTATGCAGATCTGTGATATGCTGAATTTCCTTGGGACTTCTGGATTCAGATGGGATTTCAAAATGATCAAAACAAAAGCAAAAGTCTGAATTTGTGTTTCCAGAGCCCATGTTTTTATTAAGTGGAATAACCGAGACCTTGTAATACTTTTTGGGCTACCTGGGATAAAGTAAACATAAATATAATTTTTGAGCACAGCTCCAGGGCCATGGTGTCCAGCTTTAGGTCTCCTCTCTGATGTTTCCTAGCTGTGTAAACCTTAGATAAATTTACTTAATTTCTGTGTGTCTCACTTTCCTCATCTGTAAAGTGAGGATAATCGTCATGGCACAAGCTGGAAGAGTCGACATAAATCAGATATTCAACTTAAGTTGTTGGTGAGTTCATAAAATAGTAGTTTTGTGTAGTGACAGAATATGGGTAAAAGTTTACCCAAACTTTATTTTCCTTCTGCATGAGCATTTAACTTCACTTTAACTTTCTGATTCTATATCCCCGGAAACCTGAACAGGGGAACATGGTACCGTGTTACTAGGAAACTTTGCTTATGGTAAAAGTGACCCTGGATTGGTAAATCCCTCCAGCCTGGGAGTTATAATTGCTTGATGGAAAGCTGCGACTTGTGTCTTCCCTGAAGTGTGATCTTGTACTTGGGCAAGTTCCTGTGGGGCCTTCTACACTCTGCTTTTGGAGTTGATGTGAAGGATATTGTTTCCAGGGCTGGAAACTTTGCAGGCCAGCGCTTTTTCTGAACCTGCCCAGTGCACTCTCATTTCCTCCCTCTTGGAGATTAGCTTCTGGATGCTTGTGTGGCTACACAGGCTGTGCACAGGAACACAGGACACAGCCCAGTGGGCAAGCCTTGGCTCTCACCTGTCTCTCTCCACAGGCATCTGATGCCCAGGGTGGCCTGGGGGATGGCCGTGAGCCTGGTCATTTAATCTCAGTGGCTCTCCTAGTGGTACCCATTTCACATTCAGTCAATGCTGTGCTTTGGTCATTTTATACTTCCTTCACTCTGTTTCTCCACCTAGTAGAGAGGAATTATGGCCTGGCTTCTAGAATGTATTCTTGAGCCACCTAGTTTTATTTCTGTACCACCCACATAGAGGAGGAAGGGTTGGCAAATGGAGCCGATTTCCCAAAACAATCATCTCCCAACTTTCGGGTCCTCTCACTGGGACACATCTCCGGTTTGTCCACAATTCTTTTAAGAAAAGCTGTCACCCAGAACTCGAGATGTGATCTAGGTTAGTCTAGAGCACGGGCCTGACCGGTGCTCTTCTGCTGTCCTTCGGAGGAGGTGCTGGTGGGGTGGGGGAGGGGCTCTCACCTGTCTGCAGGGCTTGCATGTCCTTCAGGGCGTTGACTTCTCTCCAGAGCTTTTCAACCTGAGACTTCAGATCTCCATCCTTTTCTGGGGACATTTTAGGGTGGGGTGAGGTAGATGGGAAAGAAAGCGTATGATTAAAATAAAATTCTTTAAAAAGAGCTTCAGGATGCAGAATTCAAGGCAGTGGCAATTTGGAGGAAACTGGGCTGAGTGTACGAAAAACTCATGCATGAAGACAGCGTGGGCAGGTAGACGGGGGCGAGGGATTGCTGAGGCTGTAACCCTGGGAACCCTTTTGAGATGGAGCTTTTGCCCCTCTTTTGCCCCACAAGATTCCCCTTGTCACAAGCCTTTGGACTCTTCAGCTCTTGGCATGTGGGAGAACGAGAGCTGTCTCCCCTCCCTGTGCACCTGGGTTGCCCCACTCCTGCCTCCCTCCTGACCCAGCTCCTCTTTGAACATTTCTGATTACGCTCTAGGTTGGAATCCCATCCGTACCCTCTTTCTTTGATTATTGTCTATTTTCTCCAGATCACTTTCTCCAATCTATATATCACCACTTATTTCCTTCTGAATGTTTTCACTACCCAGGGTATTCCTGATGCCTAACATGATGCTAGGCCCATAATATTCGTGGCATGTACTTTGGTGTAAAAAAATACTTTCATGTTAAGTGCTCTTTTTAAAAAAAAAAAATTTGTAGTTGTAGATGGGCAGAATGCCTTTATTTTATTTGTTTATTTTTATGTGATGCTGAGGATCGAACCCAGGGCCTCACACATGCTGGGCAAGCACTCTGCCACTGAGCCCCAGCCCTAATGTGCTCTTTAAAAATAGAAATAAAGGGAGAAAACTGATTCTCATTGAGAAGGAGGCTCAGCCCAGGGAGTTAGGTGATTGGTAGGTAAGTTCCAGGACTCCGACTAATGTAGGACCCCATGCCATCTGTCCCCAGTATCCATTTACAGCTGATACATCTTGTCTGGTGGCTCCCAGCAGGGCTGAGCAACAAAGGATCAGGTAGAAATTCACCCATGTAAGGGATGAGCCACTTCTTTAGTCTTGAATGTTCTTGGATGGTGCTAAAGAATTTTCCTGGCTGTCGGATCAACTTGGCTATAGGTAAGTGGTGACAAATTAGTATCCTTGGCCAAATGCAAGCTCTAGAACTGCTAGGGACTCAGACATCAACAGCTTTATAATAAATCATAGTAAATCATAAAAACAAATATTAAAAGCTACCATATACTGTCTTCCAGGAGACTAATTCTTTCAGTATTCCTATGAGAAAGATGCTACTGTTGTCTCCATTTTACAGAAGAAAAACTAGAGGCAAAGAAAATGGAATGAGCCTGCTGAAGGTCACCCAGCTAGTGAGCTGCAGAGCTGGGAGTGCATTTCCCTGGCTCAAGCCTGTTTTCATCCCACCCCTCTGATCTGCTTCCACCCAGGGATTTCCTCTACTCCTTGGTCCCAGGCACATAGCCTCTGAGTAGATGCTTAAAGCTTCATAAGAACTGTTCCCAGGAGTCTCTTTGTGGGGATGCCATACATAGAATCCATTTCATTTTTTTTTAATCCTAGGATTTTTTCAGGACAGTCTGAAATCTACATGTCCTAGTGCATTATCCCCCTTGAACATGCTCACAAGCCAGATATTTCCACATTTGGGTAAAGAAATCACCTTCTGGGGTATCCAGGGCCAGTCCCACCTCTACTTCACTTAATGCTGTACATGGATTCTTAAAGTATCAACAGCTCAGCTCAGAAATACAAAAAGACAGAGATTTTCTCCAAGGCACCATTCAAACAGGAATAGACTAAAGGGCACACTTAGAATGCAAAGCCATCAGCTGTTGGGCCAGGCTTGCAAAGTCCTCCGAAGAGACTCTTCCAAGTTATGCTGTCAACTGGAGGACTGTCATCCCCCTCACTCTTGGCTTCCTGCTCCCTTCTATTTAAATAAGTGGCCTCCACTGGGAGACTGTAAACACTGTAATTAGCACCAAGACAGTGAATTAGTATTAGGCTCCTGGGAGATCATTATGGAAGTCATTATCCAGGTGACTTGGCTTCTGCTGCCTTCCCTTTGTTGCTAATGGGGATGAACAAAGGGATTATATTTCGCTGCAGAATTTGTATTTTAGTTATTAACGCAACACATAATTTGTTGTGACCTGGGATGTAAGTAATCACAGGAAAATCTCATGTTTGGAGCTCACTCATTGCCATTTTGAATTTCTGAAAAGGTTCCCTTTTATTTTATGAGGGTTGTTACCCAGAATTAGATATAATACGGGAATGCAAACAATGTTCCAGAAGATATGACCAATAAAATTCTATGTTGATACTTTAAGAATCCATGTACAGTTGGTTGTCATGATGCAGGGGAATGGCCACGCCCACACACTAAGCCTAGGGCGTGGACGGCAGAGATCTTTTGGAGAGACGAGCAGAGAATCCCATTAACCTGCAGTTCTTCTTGAAGAAACATAACATCTAGCAAGGGGATGGATATGTGTATACAAAGCACTTCCTTGGGGACTCTGTACCATAAAGAGATGGATTGGAAGCCATACAGAAATTTACCAGGAGAGAACATTGTCACGACCCGCCCAAACAGTGGCACAATATCTTGAATGACATAGGTTCTCTATGGAGAGCTGTCCAGGATTTAACAGATGAATTAGATCCATTTGCCTGCCAAACATTTTGCACAGCCAATCTGGAAACATTAACACCCAATGTTTAATGGGGGTAATACTGTGACAAGGACTGGGGTAGAAAAGACGGCTTGGACTTTTGACTTCATAAACTTTTAAAATATTTTAAGCTCTTTAAAATAATACCATGGTATATGGGTGGATGGGGAAAGACCTGTTCAGAAAATATGGCTATTGCTTCTCCTCCAGCAGGGTCTACTTTCTTGGATCTGATGGTGAGGAATGTTTTGGAGAGGCAATGTTTAAGTTGTGGACTCCCCAAAAAAGTATGTGTGTTGGGATGGGGGAGAGGGGGGTGGAGAGCAAGCGAGCACACATTGACATTCTCTCCCTGCATCCCTCCTGGGTAACCCCCATTTTTTTCCTACTTTTCCCAGCAGTGAAGAGAGGCTGGCCAGAAAAATCTGCCACATCACCCTGGATCATCTCTCTCTCTCCCTTCTTCCCCTATCCTGGTCCTCAGCTGTGTACTTCATCTGTTTACTAGAAATATTGTAACCTTTCATTAAGAGTGGGAACAGGGACATGTAATCCTTTATAAGGAAAAGGTTCTGCTTAGGACACCTCACACCAGACCTAGATTTTATAAATAAATACCCCTGGAAAGGGCCCTTTAAAATCACTAAAACAAAACACAATCTAATGCAATCTAGACTTTTATCTTGTTGGTATTTTTTTTCCCCTAAAACAACAAGATGAAGTGAAATTGGCATCGGTGCCATAATATCCCCCTTGAAATGTCCTGAGAGGAAAATGGCTAAAAGGATGAGATGAAACGTCCCCCTGGGTCTGGCTGCTTTTTTTTTCTTTCTCGGTTTCAGTAAACTGCAAATACATTGTCCTACCTTAGTTCTTGACAACTTTTTTAAACCTCTTCGCCTATATCAAGTCGCCCCAAGTTTGGAATTGCTTAGAGAGTCCATTTTGTTTCCAAACTTTGCATGACTTTACATGTGGACATGTAATCTTAAAGAGGAAGTTTGATGCTCTGACATAAGAAATGTAAATACGTGGCATAGACTCTCCTAAGACGGCCAGGGAATAAACCTATAGGGTTGCTAAGGACAAGAAAGGAGCTGGCGGATACCTACAGTTCTGTCCTCTGCTGCACGTTTAGTACAATCACGGTTCTTACATATTTGAGGGAACTACTCAATACTTAGGAGTATTGAGTACTCCTACGTAACGGTGGACTCTACTTGCCCTGTCATTCGTAATGCCCCAACTTCACGTACCCAGGTGAGCGCCCTCTGAAGAACATGCCATATGTCTAAGCCCACCTGATGGGTAAGCCAGAAAGTTTTTATATTACAAAGCTTTTCTTCAATAACTGTAAAATCCCGCATGATTCCTTTAACAAACTCTCAGAGATTCCAAAGTTCACTCATTCGGTCCCCTGTAAAATGACATGCACATGCTGGCATTGTGCTGTCACCAGGGACAGGCTCCTGGTGGGTAGATAGAACTTGCCCAGCACCTCCACACACTAAGCCCCAAGGGTGGCTGGGCTGAACAGTCCCGTTACCTTTCACTCGGCGTTTGCTGTGCTTCCTGGCTTTTAATCTGGACGTGTGGCTGGTGGTCTGGTCCAGGAGTAAGGTGATCACCAGGATACAGATCACAAATCCACTCTTTGCCATGGCTCCTGGGCAAGTCAGTGAGGCCACTCTGCCAGCCCCTCTGCAGCAGCAGCTACAGACCAAGGAGACTGCTCAGCCACATCTTGCCCTGGGTGCCCTGGGCCAGCTTTATAAACGTGAGCGGAGGAGGTTGGCTGAGCTCCTGCTGACGAAATGTTTGAATGCCTCGGCTGGCCAGGGCATAAGGTGGCTCCTTGTTCTCGGGCCACATGTTGGACTTTTTATTTATTTTAATTCTGTTTCATTTGCCTTCTCGGAGTGTATCAGAGTTCATTAAGGGTTTTGCCTGTTTTCCTATTTTTATTTTATTTTTTTAAATCTAAAGTCTGGGAGCCTTGGTCTCCTTGAAGACCCAACACTTAAGTGTTTTATGTGGAGCTCTAAAGTTTATTAAATGTTCTGGAAAATGAATTCGGTTCAGTTTCAGAGCAAAAGGTTGGAGAGACATGGAGAGAGACATGGAGGCAGACAAACAGATCCCCAGTAGGGTGGTGAGAAAGAAACATCAAAAAAAAAAAAAAAAGCCAGGGAATTTACTTCTTTAATGTGCTTGTGTGCATGAGAGGGATGTTACAGAATTGGGCATTTAAACTATTGTGTGTGCACATGCATGTGTCTGAATGGCTCAGGGGGACCTTAGGAATAGTTCATGCAGTGGGATTTATGGAGTGGCTCATGTGAGTAACCCACAATGCAATTTATGAGTCCTCCCTCTGTTAGTTTTGTGGCTGCATCAATATATGCATGCATTCTTGAAAAATACCTTAGAGTGAAAAGAATATTAAAAAGGTGAATTACTTCCATGAGAATAATGTAAAACAATAATTATTTTACAAATTTCTATCGCCCTACTCTTTGCCCTTGAAGCTACTTGACCCACATTAAATCATACTTTCTCCCTGCTCAGTATTAGGGACTGAACCCAGATGTGCTGTACCACTGAGCTATGTCCCCAGCCCTTTTAACATTTAATTTCAAGACAGGGTCTTGCTCAGTTGTTGAAGCTGGCCTTGAGCTTGTCATTCTCCTGCCTCAGTCTCCCCATAGCTGGGATTATAGGTATGTACCACCATGCCTGGCTTGTAGTCAAGTTTTGATGGACAGTGTGCTTTGGCTTGAATACAGAAGATCAATGTGTATAAATCATTGGTCACACAATTGTTTAAAGTTTTCTTTGTCATCTTCCTGGATCCTTCAGGAAGAAATTTCAAGTTACAAAACAGTAATAGAATGTACAGCATTTTTCTTGATCTGTGTTGCACCCTTACATGGACAAGGTGTCTTTCTTCTTCAAAATAATTCTATATTATTTTAGGACTCTTCTTCTTTCCCAGTGACACCTCTGACAGATTGTTGATTTGGTTTTTCTTTGAGCCTGATCCTAAAGCATATACTCTTTTTCTTTTTTGTGTTGCTAGGGAACAAACCCAGGGCCTCATGCACACGAGGCAAGCCCTCCTTCACTAAGCCACACTCCACACCCACATTCTTCCTTTTAACTTAGATTTATGGACCTTATTTTTCTGGAGCACTTTTAGAGCAGTTTCCCATATGACCTTTCCCCCTATAGTTCTTCCTATTATTAACATCTTGAATTAGTGTGGTGTATTTGTTACAACTGATGAAAGGATTAATGATGATACATTGTATCAATTAAAGTCTGCAGTGAACCATGATCCATGGGCGGTGAACATTCTGTGGGGTTCAGACAATGTACTGGGTTTTGTCTACACCATCACAGAATCCTGCAGGATGGTTTCTCTGAAGCCCACCCTTCTGGTTCTAATGAAGCCTAGGAGACTCCACCTCTTCCCTTCTTCTGCCTGGCACTCCTCAGGACTTTCTGTGGGCTACTCTAATCCCCATCATCCCTCTTGCACAGTCTGATTCCGTTTCATGGACTTAGATTCTCCGTCTTGGACTCCTCCATCTACCTCTCCAGTTGGATCTCTTCCCGTCCGGCTAATTGTTCCCATTTCCCACCTGAGAATTCTAGTTGTTGTCTCAGACATTTCAAACCTATTATGTTCAAAAGTCAAATTCTGGATTTTTTTCTCCCATGAATGCCCTATGGATTAAAAAAAAAAAGTCACATTTCTCCCAAGGTTACAAAGAGATGTTAACTGGGAGTAAACAGAAAGGGAATAGACTGGATTTCCTCACTGTGATGTAGAAGGGGGCCCTGGCTCCTTGAGTCCTTCTGTAGTGTCTCAACAAGAACAACAAAAATGCAAGAAGCTCAGGCCTTCAGAACTTCCAAATCGGCCACCCCAGAGCCCCCTCTTTACCTGGCAGTCCAGACAATCTCCCCCATAACCTTGCCAGTAGTAAGTACCCCAGAAATGCTCATGACTTGTCCTTCTGCCCTGTCCTTACCTCCTCCAAGTCACCAAGAGCTCTTGTCCTGACCCAGTGAACCTTGTGTTCTTTGCTGATGGGACAGTCATCCTCCACTTCAAGCCCTCTGAATCTTCCCATCGTACTTAGCATGAGGCCCAGACTTCCCATCATGGTTTCTGAGGCCCTCCCACCTGGTGACATCTCACTTGGTCCTTCCTGGTGACTTTCTCCCATCCGAGACCCTTCACCAGTTTCGAGTCATTTCTAAGTCAGACTCCTCGCCCACACAGAGCAGTTCCACGTGCTTCGTCTCCATCTCTCTCTACCCCAGCCCTCCTACACTTTAATTCCCCATGAGTGCCAGCGGGACCATGGCTGGCCACTCTTGTCCGTTAGGACTGATCTGTGTGTCACCTGTGCTTTCTGTTTGCATCATCCAGGAGGGTTCTACTCTGCTGTTTAGGACCCTGGAATCCTCCCTGGAACCCCCAAGAAAACTGGGACAGGAGGAGCATGCTCTCCTCCTTTCGGAGAGCATCCTTATTCTCCCTTGAGAGGGTCCCCTTTTCCTATCCCTTCTAACCTCCTGCCTCCCACTCTGAGGAAATGAAACTCTACACACATCAATGATAACGAGGCAGGTGGCCCCTCCCCTCCTGGTCCCTGGGAAGGCAGGCCTGTGTCCTCTGGAGGACTGAACAATTCCTTATTTGTGGAGCAGGATGATGTCATCTGCCTTGTCTCCTGGGCTGGACCTGGGCTTCTGAAAGGACTATTTCAGAAGAAGCCCACATTCATAGCCAGGGAACAGGAACTATAAAAATATTGCCTCTAGACAAAAAGTGTTTTGATGAGGATTTTAAAACCGTCACCAGGGTCTTATTTTCCTTAATAAATGACTATTGGCAGCACAGCCCTTGACCACCCTGTGTAGCTGGTGTGTTTATTCCACAGGTTGCTATTTTAAAGTTGCTCTAAGCTGTTTTCCAGAGTCTCGGATTCTAACCCACAAATCCATCCGGCCTCGGTGCTGTTTGTCTATTAATACTCAAGTCCGAACAAGTCTTCAGGCTGCGTTCAGAGGTTCAAGGGCAGCATTTGGGGGAGGTCACAGGACTGAACTTGAAGATAGCACAGCGAGCTCAAGGGCACGGAGGAAAGATTTGTTGTGGTGTGTGCGCTGAAGTGGCCTTGTTTCTCCTGTGGTGATTACTCGCAGCTGTGACTGCTGAAAATGTCATGGGATTTGAAGACAGAGTTGGTGACAGGTTTTAGGGAAGAGGGTTATCAGACTTCTAAGCCTGGGTTAGCACTGAATGGGACAAAGATCAAAACTCTGATAGTCTTGAGATTGAAGTTTTTGATGTCACTTATGAGTGGCGTGACAGTGGCCAGACTTGTTATCTCTTTGAAGCTGGTGTCCTCACCTATCTTGCAGAATGGTTATAAAAATGGGAAACCATGTATATAAAATAGGCAGAGCCTCATAATGTCATCGTAGGTGATCAGGCTTCCTTGGCTACTGTCCTATACACACACATCGTCTGAACTTCTCAGACTCACCCCAGCCCTCACCCCAATCTCAAAGCCTCGGTCCTCTTTGAGCCCATAGGACTTCTAAAACATGCAGTCATTGTACATTTATTTATCTTCCCTCCTGCCACATGATGTGGGATATAAGTCTTAGTCTCTCCTGAGTTTCTAGACCTGTGTAGTTAAACAGGTGACACTGGCTGCCATATTGGATAGCATGGTTCTAATGCCTGTCTGAATGCCTCATAAATATGTATTGCATGAAATGATTTAACCAAGTGGCTCTGAAGTCAAGAAACTGGTGACTTAGATCCAATTACTCTTAGGTGCCATGCTAGGACTTTTTTTTTTTAATGTAAATCCAGTAAGAAAGTCATTATTATCTGGTTTGATGAGAGTAGAGTGATGGTTCTTACATTTCTCAAATTGTAAGAGTTGGTCAGGCTTGGATCTCTCACACCAGAGCTCGGCTATGGGGCGAGATCCACCTGGTGGTAAAGGGGATTTGTGTCTTCCTGGGCTTAGCCAAGAGATCAGTCAGGAGGTGAGGTGAAAGTTTCTGGCAATCTCAGGGCAGTGGGAGTAGAACAGTTAGATACCAAGTTTAGGAGAGATGGGGAGTCATTCAATCCAACTAGATACTTGGGTCTCTATTTCAGAATCCCTGGCAAGTCTCTACTCTGTACCCTTCCCTTGATGGAGGACTCGCTACCCAGCAAGGTAGCCAATTCTATTGCTAGAAAGTTCTGTCTAACCCAGAAGGTATTTTTCCTCCTCCTCTACCACCTTACCCAACTTATTATGACTAGTTTTCTTTCTTGGCAACCCACGAGGAAAGATTACAGCCCCAATTAGCTCAGAGAGTCTCATGTTACAGCATTTCCCCCCACCTCCATGTTCTTGGAGTTCTCAGGATTAGTTACCCTCTGGCCTCTGGTTCAGCTTTAGGCATGTGGCAGGCGCTTCTCTGGGCTGGTTTCTGCTGTGTGATCTCATCTTGAACCAGTTCCCTCTCCTCTTTAGGACCAAGTGTTCTCCTGGCTCCTTCTCATCCTGCCTACTTGTGGGGCCTCCCACACATGGTGCTGAGGTCACCACATCCCTGGCCCTGTAATAACCGGACACCTCACCTATTTCCCTGCTGCCCATACCAACATGTGGCAGTGGAGAGTGTACAAGTGACATCACACAGACAGGAGCTGAGTTGTGGTGCTCTTGTCTGC